ATATAATTAGTATTTTTATATTTATATAATAATATTATATATTACTAGTAAACTAATAATAAATTAATTAATATTAATTTAATAATAATATATAATATTATTATATAATATATATAAAATAGTAATATATTAAAATTAGTAAAATAATTAATATTTAGAATTAAAAATTATAATATTATAATATTAATATATAGTTTCTAAATTTATTAAATCTAATAAAATCTAGTTTATTTATTAAATTATTTATAAAATATAAAACTATATAATTATATTTTATATTTTATATTTTATTATTTATATTTTATATTTCGAGTTTTATAATTATATATATTATTTCTAGAAAAAAAAATATTAATAATAATTAATATTTAAAAATAAGAATTATAATATTATAATATTAATATATAATTCTTAAATTTATTAAGCCTAATAAAAACTAGTTTACTAATTAAAATATAAAATTATATAATTAGTTATATAATTACAAAATTTATTATATAATTATTTTTATAATTAGATTTAAAAAAAGTAATTATATTTAAATATTTTAAAATAATTAAAGATATTAAATAAATTTATTAAATTTTCTAAATATATTAAAAAGAATTCTAAAATAAATAAAAATAAAACTTATAATTAAGCTAATATAATTAAATTTTTATTTAATATTAAAGTCTTTTATATATTTAAAAATTTAAAATTTAAAAATATATATATATTTATTATTTTTATAATAAAAACTAATTTCTTAAAAAAAGAGTTATTTTATTTTATTTTAAAATTCTTTTAATTATTATTTATTAAATATATTCTTAATTTATAAAACTTTAAATATTAATAATATATATATATATATAAATTAATATATTATTAATAAAAAATATTAATAATATATATATATATATAAATTAATATATTATTAATAAAAAATATTAATAATTTTAATTTTATAACTTTTTTAAATAATTATATTAATTATATATAATTATTTTAATATTAAGTTATAACTAAATAAAACGAGTTTAATATTTATAAATTAATATTATAAAATAACTTTATATTAATATTTAATATAAAAAATAGTAATTTTTAAAAGTTTTTTTTAAATAATTAAATCTTTTTTAATATTATTTTAAATATATTTTCTAATAATTAAAATTTATTATTTTAGAAAAATTTAAAATATTTTTAAATAAGATTCTAAAATCTATTTTAAATATATTTAAATATAATAAAAACAAATTTTAAATAAGGCTATAATAAATTTTATTTAATTTCTTATAAATATTATTAATATTATATATATTAAAATTTATAAATTTCTTATTATTTTCTTAAATCTCTTAATATAATAAAAAGATTTCTAGTTTATTAATACTTTTAATAGCTAATCTTTCTATTTTCTATTTATATTAAAAATTATTATAATACTTATATTTAGGGAATTTATATTAAGAATTATTAAAGAATTAATATTTATAAAGCTTATAAATAGCGGGTTTAAATTACTTATATTAAATTTATTTAATTTATAAAAGCCCTTATAAATAAAAAGATATCTGGATTTTTTCTTTATTATAATTATTATATATTTCTTTATATTATTTTTAATCTTATATATATTTAAAGCTATTAGAAATTTATAGAAATAAATAAATTAGTAATTTATATATATTTTAGTTTATAAGATTATAATATTTGATTTAAATTTCTATATTTTATTAGAATAATATATATATTTTTAGCCTTTAAAACTTATAATTTCAAAATAACTAATAATAGTATTAGTATATTAAATAAATAGAATAAAATAAAATAATAGCTATTATTTTTATTTTATTTAAGCTAAAAACCCGTTACTTTTATTTTATTTATATATTATTTATATATATAATTAAATTAGTTTAATTAGATATAGTTTTAAAAGAGCCCGTATCTAGTATTACTAAATATTATTTTACTATCTAATTAGGTAATAATAGTACTTAATAAGCGAATTAAACCTTAATAATAATTAGTTTATTTATTATAGAAAATCTGCATTTAAATAGCCTTATATAAATATTAGCTTAATTTATATAAAACTATTTAGTAAATACCTTAATTCTTTTTTTTAAATTTAAATATATATTAATTTCTATATAACTTCTATATAATTATTTATAATTATTTATATTATTTATAAATAATTATTCTATTTTATTTAAATTATTTAAGATATTTATTACTCTTATTTTATTCAAGTTATTTATAAATTATTTATAAATAACTTAAATAACTTGAATAATTCTTTAATATACTAAATAGTATCGCAGTTACTATTCCACTTGAGTAAAGTTTGCCGGATTCCCCGTTACTAAATGACTGGCTTTACTAGTGCGAGGATTTCGATTAATATCGAGTCGATCTCTCCTATTATAGCAATACCAGAATCGGAGAGTTCTTTGTTAATAGTCAGCCAACTACTGGACATGATGCGTAAATACTCAAATGGGCTATAGCCGTTGGCAGGTTAATGGCGGGCAGGCTGCGTTTGAAGGGAGTGCTCCTCCGCCGAAAAACTGTCATTACGATAACGTCGGGTGTTTCGCTTTTTAAAGGTCACATGACTGTAATGCCTCGCACTGCCCTGTTGAAATTAGGGGCCTGGGGGCCCTAATAGGCTTAGTAAGCCCTGGAACCGAACGCCATGGGGCTGTGCTATGGGGCTTAATACCCTGTCCAGCTGGAATGCCCTGTATAGCTGGAATCGGTTCAGCTGGCATAGGGGTTTAGTACATGTGATTTAGGGGGTTCAGGGCTATATATACGGGCTACTTACCACTGTAGAACAGCAGTCGATTCAGTACATTTTACTTGGTTTACATTGCAAGCACGTGACCCTAGCTTTATTATTAAGCTAGTTCAACATGCCCCACACCGCTTTCTTTGGGATGCAACATTGTGCACGAGATTTTCAGTGTCAGGAGCCTTTTTTATTCAAGGAGTCTGTCAAAATTCTTACAAGCTTTCTCCTGAAGTCCCTCGGAAAGATATTAATTCTTTTAGATGAATAATCTTTTGTCCCATCGGCGCCGTGGATAATGGTATTCTCGGAATAAAATGAGGATGCAGCAGAGGATTAGAGATGGTGGGTTGAGGGAAGATTCTGATTAAAATCGAAGATATGCGCGCTTAATAGGGGGTTGGGAAAGAAGAGCTGAGCTGCCGAGAAAATGCATCTAAAGGTCAACAGCTGCGGCTACAGGCTATTCAGTTCCGTCCTATGAGCTTGCCCACCGCAACCTCTAGTTTCCTAAGCCCTGTGTCTGGCATTATTGCCCCTTCGAACCCTCCTACCTGCCAGGTCAAGATTGAAGATCCTCTTTGTTGTAGCAAGAGGGCGATTTATATGGGAAAGCGCTGCCTATTAGATGAAAAGCGCTGCGGGTGTGGACCACCCAGTGCAGTACTTAACTTACTAATTGGAGTAGTGGACAGTAATGCAGCACGCTTGGGTCCTGATATGATTCATCATTTTAGCGATGTGCAACACAAGCTCTTCTAGTCAATAGCGGCTGCCTTGTGAGAAGACAGAGTCAAATCTAGACAAAATCGTAGAAAAGGTATTTGAAATTTGAACAGTCTTTGACATATTGATTGCTGATGTCTAGAGGTAGAAGTGAGATGGGTTGGCCTTGGAATAACTTTAGCGGAAAAGTCGGCGCTGACGAGAGACTTAGCGAGACAGATTGATGGTGACGACGACAGGGCTATATTTAGGAATGGAGCCCATTTGAGCCCCTTCTGGCGCCGGCTTCCAATTAGGCTGGATGGGAACCAACAACGAATCCCGGTACGGAGGCCAAAAAAAGGATCTTGGCTAAGGGAATCGTTTCTGTTTCAGGCTTAGTGACTCACCGCCGGTACCAAGACACCGAGGGATTCAGCTTTCCATGTTCGGTAAGACGGGAAAGAGTTCATGGATCATATCATTGTATATTCTATGTATTTCAAGCTCTCCTATTGGGTAATTGATTTTGTCAGACGTGTTGTGATGATTGCTAGGGCCAGAACGCGCCCTCGAAGTGCTGCTATCCCTTCGTCTGCTGAGACATGTCCACATTAGCGGCCGCACTAATTTATTCCTAATTGAGTCAATAAAAACAAGTTTCCTTTAATCACACCACATCGCCTTCATGCGGCCGCTAATGTAGACATGTCTCAGCAGATGAGGGGATAGTCGAAAGATCGTTAATTTAAGTAATCCTTTGCTCCGTTTCTAGAATATTTTAGAAGCTCACGCCCGCCTTACGCGTCAATGACGCGTGTCCACGGGGTGAATGCTACTGTAGGGTACAGATGACGGCCCAGCTTGGTCTAGTGCGCCTTCTATCGTCTTGGTATAGTAACTCATCCGACATTTCAAGAGAGCGGGTGAGGAAGCCGCAATCGAATCCTACTAAATACTCCAACTAGTAATCTCACCAAAAAAAAAATCATCAGTAAGTTAATCGTTTACTTCTTGTAAATTTAAGTATACACTTCACAAATTTTTGTATTGTTTTACAACTCTTGGTTGTATGTTTTTGGCTTTTCAAGTGGGATATTGTTTTCATGTTCGCCCAGGTTCGGCGCAATAGGTGTGCTGCTTTTGTTTTTGGGCAGGGTGCCTTACTTAAGGAATATGCCTTGTAATGACGACCGTGCTCTGCCTCGACCTATAGGTGATGGGATCTCCCCAATGTAATGTTTCTCTCGACTTCGGTGCCATTCTACAGGCTTGGTACGCGCCGGATGGTGAATTATAATTAGGTGGGAAGGGGGTGGGAGGAAGGAAGGGTGGGGGCATCTCACACTTATAAGAGTTCAACAACCCACGTCCGCTTACCCAGAATATATTTTCAGTCTTGACTTCTACTGCCGGGTATCCTTCGAGGAGATCTATCAGAGAAAGTAAGTCACTGCTGTTGACCGTGACACACGACACAAGCTTACAGGGACCACACAAGAGAAGCCGTACGCGAACGATACCAAGCCACACCGAACATAAGCCACATGCGAACGATACCAAGCTACACAGCGATACCAACCCACACGACCCAATGAGACGCCATGGACTCAAGACACCCAGGAAAGACCATATCGACAACAGGAACCAGCTTATCGCAGGAAAGATTCCGTACGAACCACCTCCAACAAAGACAACCTGTGAGTATTCCACTACCTTCAAAAAGGGTTCCGCTGCTTGGATGAGACGATGCGGCTCTTAAATTGAAACGACGGCCTCCAGGACCTGTAGCAGTGCATTCGTTAACAATGTCGTATAGACCTCCGGTAACACAAGTGAACACAATAAATATAATCCTCCCGTACCGCAGCATTCAGTGTTAGGAAAGAGGACACGGCATGACAGCCGCGAGTCTTCTAGGGATCGCAGCAATCCTACCAACAAGCGTCCTCGCCATACATGTCTCTCGTCAACCAATCAGCTTGCAATAAGTGTTCCCGCATACCCTGGGACAAAATCGACCAGTGGATGGGCTGCAAGGGACGAATTGACTGGCACGGTAAGCTGGTCGTGAACGTTGGGAAACGCTATCGAAATGTTCCACCCTCTACAACCTGTCCACTCTGCCGCTAACTGCATGCTCCTTGGATAGAACCCTTTGTCAAGAGTTTAGATTCCTCGCAATGGAAAGGGAACTATTTTGGCGACCGGATACATATCTTCCGGCACCTCCGACATCTTACCCATGTTAACGATTTCCAAACTTCGATGAACGTACTCCGGAAACACAATGCACCATATCACATCGCTGTTGTCCCATTCGGACGCGGGTGGCGAGATAACCTGCAGGCGCATATAGCGTCACATGGAATGGTTGTCGTTATACCCAAAGGATGTCCACAATCAGAAATCTTCAGTCCCCAACAAGTATCTGAAAAATTCGACCCTAATGTGGCTCTACGATGGTTAGAGTTCTGCAAGCACCACAAAACCTTTGCAACCCAAAATCACCTCAGGTCAACGGAATGAAGGTGATTGACTGTGATTCTGAGGATTGGATCATCCGGGACCATCGCCCTGTCGACAAATACGTAGCTCTCAGCTACGTGTGGGGAAGCCCAGCCCCAAGTAAAATGCCAACATTGGCACTAACTGGGAACGAGACGCCGCAAAGAGAGGTATGTATAAAGACCAAGGCAAAAAGGCACCGGCCGGTCGCTCGCACCTCTCCACACATACCGAAATCGAAGCTGAATCTCATTTTGAAGAAGTCCGTTTCAAATCAGACCTCGGCTATGGTGGTCAAAACAACTCATTGTGCTGCTGCTGCACCTGAGAATAAATCGGTATCAAGGCTTCCCAACGAAATTCCACTCACTATTCGGGATGCCATCCAGGTAACCAAAGCCCTTGGCTACCGCTTCCTCCGGGGAGATAAGTATTGCATTGATCAGAGTAGCGAAACCGAGAAGCAACAACAGTGTAGTCGTATGGGGGACGTCTACGCTGGCTCGCAGGTAACAATTTTTGTATTGGGATCTGACTCAAACTATGGGCTGCCTGGCGTAAGCTCAAGGCCCCGGCTCCGGCAACGACAATGTACGACAATCGGGGAGTACAAATTTATATCCACAATGCCTGACCCGCATATCTCTATTAGCCAGTCCAAATGGTCGACCAGAGGATGGACTTATCAAGGACTGTTTTCGACTCGTCGCCTATTCTTCACCGACTATCAAACACATTTTGAATGTAACGCAGTGAATTGCGTGGAATCCTTCAAGAGCAACCTGAAAATTCTCCACATCCAAACTGGTCAACGTTTTAGGGCCTATCACCGCGCCGGGAAATTCATATGCGGTAACTCAAACAAATACTCTCATCTCGACGTGAGGCGAAATGAAGCGAATCATCGCAAGATTGATAACATCCGCAGATGTCAATACTACATCCAAGAGTACACCAAAAGAGAGTTGACGAATAAGGACGATGTCTTGAACGCATTTGCAGGTATTGCCCGCTTCTACGCCATAACGACCGCAAAGATAGCTAGTTTAGCTGGAATACCCATTCCTTTCCCAATCGCAATGTCAGGGAACGTTAGACGGGTACATCTAGACCATCTCAGCTACGCTCTGGCCTGGACACATCAAATACACAGATTTACTGGACCAAAACTGAAGAATCCTAAAAATCTGTCAGTGCGCAGGCAATTACCCTGGACTCCATACGATAATCCCATGCCACAACGTAGGATAGGATTCCCGTCTTGGTCATGGGCTGGGTGGTTTGGCGAAATCGGATTAAGGGAGGACCTTCCTTACTGCTGGACCAGTTACCTGGGCTCTGTGCGGATAGGCTTTCAAGGAGATTACCCAAAAGACTTCGCATGGTTGACAGAGTTAGCACGGTACAAGCATCTCATCATACAGAAGCTTCTTACAGCAGTCGAATTGCGCTTCGACGCATATGTCCTCAACCCTGAGAAGCTGAAATTTTGGGTGAAGGATCCACACATGCCGTCCAGGCAGATCCCTTCTAAGGCTATACACGTGAACCTATCGAAAGGGCCATGTTCATTGGAAAAATTCCACCAAAAGCTAATGGACAGAGAATTTGAGTGCTTGGTAATAGGAACGTATGGGGAACCCCGCGAGGATGTCTTCAAAGCTATTCAAGCCGCGGACAAGAAAGCTCCGAAGGCTCGCAAGAGTCGGATAGGCTTATTTGAGCGCCGAGAGCCGGATGCCATTATCTGTCTCGTTGTCTATACAGTAAAGAAAACATCCATTCGGAGAGGACTTCTCAAGATTGAGTTTGATGGCTCAGGAAGAGAATGTCTATTGCGGGCGTGGGATTTGGGTTCAAAAAGAAGTTTTATATTGAAGTAGATGTCAGGTTTTTCTTAAATAGAATTTGCAATAAGAAGTTATATAATTAATATTTAACTAATATAAAGCATTATAATTACTTTTAATTTAAAAAAGAAGTTTAAAGAAATATATACTTAAACTATTTATTTATTTAATTTTAATTGTAATTAATTAATATATAAAAAATATAATAAAATATTTTATTTTATTTAATTAATTTCTTTTATTTAATTTTAAATAAGTTTAAAAAATTAATTTTATTAATTTAAAATAATAATTAACTTAGATATATCTATTAATATTTATAATTATAATTAAAATTATATTTTATTATAAAGAGATTTTATAATATTATATATAATATATTTAATATAATATGAAAATTTAAATTTATATAATAAAAAAGAAATACTCGTAAGTATTTCTATACTCGATTCGAGCTAGCTTAATTATATTTGCTAGTAATATTAATTCCGATATTCTAGTTAAAAAAGTTTAAAAATATTATTATAGTAAAATAATAATAATAATAATAAAAAGCTATATATTAAATTAAGAAAATACTAACTATATATTAAGTTATATATAATAATATTATATAATAAATATTATGTAATAAATATTAGAAATTAATAAATAATAAAAATTTATTTTCTATTATAAACTTTAATAATTAATATATAAAACTTTATTTTAAATAATTTTAAAAAATATTATAAAATAAAAATAAATAAAGAAATATTAAAATTAATAATATATATTAATATAATAAATAGAAAATAAAAGTTTATATTATTTTTTTTCTTTAAATTATAAATTCTTTTAAAGTTTTTTTATATATAACTTGCCTTTTTTATTTTTATTAAAAAATAAATTATTTAAATATTATTTTAATACTAGTTTTAATTTAAATAAAAAAATATAAGCTAGTTTTTAATAATAATATAATTATTTATTAGGTTATGTAATTAAAAATAAATATAAAAAAAAATATAAATTTTTTAATACTTTTAATATAATTATTTAAATTGTTTTTATTTTTATTTATATTTTACTATATATCTTATAACTTTAATTAGTTTGAATATATTTAAGCCTTATATAATAAGCTCTTTTGTTTTTAAAATACTAATATTTCTAGCTTTTAAAATTTTAATTATTAAATTTTAAACCTTTTTTTAATATTTCTCGAAAGTGATTTAATATAAATATATATATATATATAAAGAAATTAAAAGCTAATAACTAAATAAGAAAAGAAATATTTTTATTATTTTATTTTATATATTTTATAATTAATAATATTTTTAAATACAAATATTAAATATAATTATATATAAAACTAATTAATTTATATAAATATATATATAAAATAAACTTTATTTATTTATTATTTATATATATATATATATATATACATATATTTAATATTATATAATAATTATAAGCTAGTTATATATATTATATTTAGCTCTAGCTATTTATATTATATTTCTCTTTTTTTTATATAATTTAATTATATTATAATATAACTATATTTAATATAATATTTAATAAAAAAGAGCTTTATATTTTTAATAAATTAAATAAATTAAATATTTTATATTTAAAAGTTATAATAATTTATAAATAAAAACAAAATAATAATATATATAAATAATATATATATAATTAGTTTTAGGTAAGGGAATTGATTTTAGATAAGGTTCCGAGCTATAATTTAAACTAAGCTCGGTATTTTTTAATAGTTTTAGCTATATTTACTTATCTATTATTATATTTCACTTTTCTTTTTCTCTCTTTAGCTTTAGATTCTATAGAATATTAGAATTATAGATCTTTGAGTATTATTCTAGTATTTTATTTCTGCTATTATAACTTATATAAATATATATAACAAGAAAAAAAGTATATTTGTTTTATATAAGTTTTAGAATTTCTAGTATTAACTTTCTAGCTAGTTCTTTATTATTATATAAAAGAGAACTAATTTTCTATTAGTTTTATACTTGTATTTATAAATAATATTTATATAAATTTATAAATATAAAATATAATAATTCTAATTCTAAAGCTATATTATTTATAATATTATTTCTTTTATTATAGCAAGTTTGTAATTATATTCTATATATCGTAGTAGCCCAAGCTACAGATTTTCGAGGTTATTATATAGACTTTATAGGACCCTCTAAGATTTGTAACCCTTGCCTTTCTCGTTTCCGATCTCTATTTCTTAATTCAAAGGCTCTCGATTCCGCGCATTCACGCCATAATTAGTCTTGAATTTGGCACGAATATAGGGCTTGGCTTGCTGGCAGACCGTCCTTCGCTTTCCACTGTCAAATTCAGGCGTTTAGAGGCCTTAATTCTCTGATTATCGAAGGCTGGGAAGCCCCTTAATAAGTACAAAATCCACTAGCCTCCCACTAGTCTCCCAGCCCCCTAGCTGCCTTAGGTCCATAAGCTTGGCACCTTTCAACGTCCATCACATTCGTGGGAATCCAGTTCGCTGTTTCAGACTCTGCTATCTCGCCTCGCCAAACTGAAGTCGATGAATGGGCCCTTCGCTCAAGCGTATTTCGTCGATTTGGGATAGAAAAGGGTATTCTCGCAGATAAGGCAGTTGAAAATTGGTTCATGCCCGATGCTCGAGGGATCGCCCAAATGTGGGTACAAGTTAGGAACTGAGAAGCTGGAAGATGTTGCAGAGCTTGGATGTGCCAGCACTTTTTTCTTTGCGGATCGGGCGATAGAGCTTTTCCAGACCAGATGGAAACATGCTCGGCACTTTCAGCTGCCAGAGATGCCAATAAAATTATACACAATGTCCGTAGAAGAAATACAAGAGCTTGATGGAGCCGACGCAATTTCCGTGGAATCTGTACCGAGGAAGGCAAACTCAAGGGAACTTCACTCTCATTATCTTCAATCTTCTCGCTTTCGGGGATCAGCGACTTGTTATGAATATTCTGTTGTTGCCTCTGCTATTGCCAGTCTGACCACTTCCTAAAAACAGGCATCTTTGGAGATCTCAGAACGGAATAGTGGGTGGGTGGTGCGGGAGACAAGATATTCAGTTTCTAGTTGGTTTGAAAAGCTACTCTACTTTCGAATTGTCCCTTTATCCTATTAATGGCAATGTGTAGTACAATATCCGGCTACTCCCATCCCAAGAACTCCGGAATTTTGGGATAGGCAATAGGTCAATAGCGTACATTCATGTGCTCTGGGGTGAGCGGAAAATACCCAAAGGTCGCTTTTCAGTTCGGCCGCAGGCACTGAGCAATTGTCGGTGTTCGAAAAGCTCCAAGGAGGGTCCGAGGGTTGTTCGATGCTTCGAAGGAGACAAAACTTCCCATGCCTACTGCGTAGTGCAATGCAAGGGCGCCCTCCCCCGGCACGGTGGCCGACATTTCTACGATTAAACCGTAAATATCTGCTCGACATCCCGCAGTTTAATCTTATTGCCCTCCAAATTATTTATCAGCACTGCTATCACTGCCATCCTCCGTCAGAGTTAGCAACCGGAGAAGATTTCCCGGGAGGTTGCCTGTGTGAGCACGACAGTACAGGGGGCAGAGCTCAGGATAGCAAGCTTACGAAGCATAGCAACTACACTGGGGTCACCCTGCTTAGATGTACTATATCTCGAAATATGAGTTGTCAAGATACACGTATCTACTATTACCCTGCATCGTGAGAGAAACTACACGGTCGGTAGCCGTTATTAATATAAGACGGTGTTTTCTATGCTATCTTCAACTCTCCTCCAGAGACAATGATGTCCATGCAGCCCCCAAAGCTGCCAATCCACCCGCTCTAAATCCACCCGCTCTAAGACACCAAGCAAGACCATTTTGACTATCCGATATTCCAGAAAATCACACTACAGGCCAGAGCGGCCGCAATTTGCGAGACTGGAACTACCATATTATGAAGACTCATGATAAGACCCACCTAATTCTCGTCCGGTGATTCTAGGGCTGCCGTGTCAGTTTCTCGCAGTCTGTCTTACTTTTTGTTAACTCTTGACCAATGATCGCATATGGAGCCAACAAAGTCATGGTCCACGAAACCATTGATAGTAATTAAGACTGTGCCGCCAATATGGGTCTTTACAGAGAGTGCAGAAAACATCAGGATGGCGAAAGATACGAGCGCCAAAATCCAGATTTGGGCAATTGTGGATCTTCGAATTAAGTGATTTCCGCCGCTGAGACTCGGAGTAAGGCGAAGAATCGTTACGAGTAGTTGGTCGGATAATGAATTGGAGAAGAATATTCGCGACAAGAGCGACGATTGCTGATAGAAAAGTCGCGAATGTGCCAACTTGGGTGCTAATACTGCGCATGGTATTTGTAGGAAGCTGAAACGTCTCCGAAGTACGCAATGACGTGGCATTAGAATCTTGTCTCTCAATTAGTATCAATAGCATTGAGGATATAATGATGGCATACATAAATCACCAACGTAGCTACCTATTGGTTAGCCCAGATAGTCAAAGTGTTGTCTCCAGAAAGAACTCACGTCGTCGTGTAGAAGAGGTAAGGAAACCCGCCATCCAAGCAAAAATCTAAATGTGAAAGACTCTTCGAATCTTGAGTGGCATGGTCCTGAAAGTTCGAAGGAACTGTCCTGGACCCCTGACAGATGGGCGGGGCAACGCTTCGGAGCTCTTTTCGTGAACAAAGCAATGATGCACAGCCATTGGAACCGTGTCAAGCATAACTGCTTTGCAATCTCTGGGAGGGGAGTAAATCCCACAAGATAGCCAAAGGTGTTCCCACCTCCGGCCATGAGACTTGCCCATGCGCTTGCTTGCGCTTGCTGGTGTGTTGGGCATTTCTCTACAACTAGCGCCTAAAGACTGACTTGAAGTAGCTGTATTGAAACATTGAGGGCATAGATGCAAAATATTGCGAAAGCAATGACAATGGGTTATAGGACACTTACCGTCCACGTAAACCATTCATCCCTTCCAAACTCTCTCCCCAGCAGCCTTTTTCTCAAATTCCAATACCTCATCCTTTGGATCCTCCTCGCCTCTGGTGAATGGCAGTCCGTCGCTCCCACCATCCTCTACGATCTCTACCTTCTCCCACCCCGCATGCTGCTCTCCGCCCGTGCGAAGCGTCAATCCCCCTTTCCGACCTTCGTGAGAAGCGCTGGTGAACGTGATACGTTTTCCGTCCATTTGGGCTTTGACGAACTTAGGTGCTTCGGTGGTTATGACGATCGAGTCGATTGCGGAACCGTGATGGCGGATATAGAGGTTTGTATAAGGGGAAGGTGGTTCGCCTGGAAAAGGAGCGGTTTTAAGAAAGGACTGGGGCTTGGGCGTCATAAGCGAGAATGAGGTGCGCATGGAAGATCAAGCTAAAGTCCTAAGGCATTGGAATGTTGGTTTACGCACGAGTTTAGTTCTGTGAGGTACTCTCTCATTTAACCAGAAAAAATAGCTCACTTGTTTAGAGAATTATTAAGCTGCAATTGTTCATACGACTTCAAACAAAGGCGAATGGCCATCCACGACTTCTATAGATTGTAAGGTCTTACATTTCTGTTTGCATGCACTTTGTTCTTCGTTTTTGTTGGTTCCTGCGATCTTCTGCTTTGCCGTCAAAAGGCGTTACGCTGCCCTGGAAGACTTCTTCACTTTCCAACCCTTACAGTTGAAGAAGAATGAGCCTCAATCTTGCTTACCTCTTCCTCTCCTTCTCTATTAGCTTCGGGATACCCTATTTAGAGGCCCTTCAAGGCTCCGACAACGTGCAACGTGCTCCCTGAAGTCGCACCCAGCCGTCCAACCCATCCAGTCAACGATCATTTACCGATAGGGAGGCCTCTTATTCGCACAGTCTGCTTGCCAACTACTCAAATCCGCGTTGCAATGCACCCCTCTTGGTTTGGGTGTCAGAGCTGCGACGGTTGTCGGCCACGTGCGGACAGTCTGGAATGATGGTGCGAGGCCGTCGGCGATGGCATTGAAGGATGGTGGGAACAGGTTCGCGAGGCACTGTATTATTAGCCAATTCTAGGCCTTATACCACGTGTCGGCCGATGCCTTTGTTCTTGTAGGCTTCGAGCTGAGCTGGATCTTGATTTGGAAGTTGAACGGACAGCGAGAAGCTGAAAGTGAGGTTTTCTTGTATTTGAGTTAAGGCGATTCTAGCATTGCGCAGCTTTGGAAAGGCTTCGTCTTGGCATTGCGTGCTTCCCAGAGAAAGCAAGTAGGATATCCTAAGCAAATAAAACGAAGGGGAGGTGGACTGAATAACATGACGATGTAAACAATTCCGGAATTGATAACGCGAAATGCTTCAAAGAGAAAAACACGGGAAACGCGGAGGCAGAGCATTTGGAGTACTGGCAGGTGCAAATAGTTTTCAAGATAGCATCAGATATATTCAGGTTCCACCATTTGTGAAGCTAGTCCGGAATGGAGGTTAAAAAGAGGGTGTGCAGATGACGAATGAAGTTGTCCTTGCGGAGTCGCGAACCTCAAAAAAATCGCGTCCTCCAAAAATTATCGCCCGCTCCAACCCTCCATCCAACCTCCCCCCACCTTCTATCCACCCAACTTCTATCCAACCAACCCTCTCCACCATGCCACTCGATACCTCAACCTACTCCCTCGCGCTCCTGCGCCTCGACGGTCGACGATGGAACGAGCTGCGCCGGCTCACCGCACAGATCTCGACCCAGGCCGCAGCAGACGGCTCCAGCTACCTCGAGATGGGCAACACGAAGGTGATCTGCACCGTCACTGGGCCGTTGGAAGCCAAATCTACCAGCGGAAATAGGTCAGGGGGCGATAGGGCGGATGTGCAAGTTTCGATCAGAATTGCTGGGTTCAGTGGGGTGGATAGGAAGAGGAGGGGACGAGGAGATAAGTAAGTTCATCAGCTCTTTCCTTGAGAATTACTCGCAGGTTCGCATATGCTAATTGGTTATGTGAAACTGTAGGAGGACACAAGAAATGCAGACTACAATCGCAAACGCCTTCTCCCAATCCCTTTTCACACACCTCTACCCACACAGCACCATCACCCTCTCTCTCCACATCCTGTCCCAGGACGGCTCTCTCCTCGCTGCCCTCCTCAACGCCTCAACACTCGCGCTCATCGATGCGGGAATCCCAATGCGAGATTACATCTGCGCGTGTACTGCCGGCTCGACATCGAGCTATTCGAGCAATGACGAGAAGGCAGACCCGTTGCTGGATTTGAATAATATGGAGGAGCAGGAATTACCGTTTTTGACGGTTGCTACGCTTGGGGATACGGACGACGTTAGTGTGTTGGTTATGGAGACGCGAGTGCAGATTGGAAGGTTGGAGGGGATGCTCGCGGTCGGCGTAGATGGGTGTAAGCAGGTTAGGGAGATTTTAGATCAGGTTGTCAGGAAGAGAGGGACGAAGATATTAGAGGGAAGTCAGCTATAATGCGAGAAGGTATGGAAACTGCATGAAAATGGGATGTGTGATACCCTGGAGTTCTGGTGTCAAAAGTGGAAATTAGATGGATGTGTCTCGAGACGAATAAGATGCCGAATGCCTTATCGGATTATAGCCCGCTAGTTTTACACCTATGCACCTCAAAATCCAAGAGGTGTCCCCTTACAATTCATCGTGTGGCTTGAGAGAAGCTGTTGGCTCTTCAGCCTTCGCTTCATCCACCTTGACCTCTTCAACGACGACTGGTTCCTCTGCTGGCTTTTCTTCTTCCCCAACAGGCTCCTCTTCCTCTGGGATCAAACCCTCCGGCAACTTCTCCTTCGCGCCCTCTCCAAGCCTGATGGCATCAACCCAGTTCTCAATGGCCTCTTCAGTCACATCCTTTGCTGCAATTGTGCCATCACTTGGGAGCTTCTTCCACCATCCTCGTCGACCATTAACAGCAATAATTTCCAGACCGTTGCCCATTCCTAAAGCACCTTTAAGCTGAGCATACCCACCATTCTTCTCGGGAAGGACGTAGAATGGGAACAGCTTCCTGTTGTGCTGCTTGTGCTTGTGAGCAACCTCCGAGAATGAACCCACAGCCGCAGCACCAACTTCGTCGGGATAGTTTGGCAGGAGAACCAAAATACAAGTTCCAGTCTTCGAACCTAGGCATACGATATGCAATTCCTTTTCAGTATCGAGAATATCGATCGGTGGTGCTGGTTCGGGAAGAACGATAGGCTTCTCGTGCTCGACTTCTGGAGATGGTGATTCAGTAGCTTCCTCCTCAAGGACTTCCTCTGTCGCAGTTGCTGCATCTTCAGCAGAGTTGGTAGATTCCTTGGCTTTGGATGCCCTTTTGGAGTCCTTGGACTTCGGGAGCTTGACCTTTGCTGGCGCTGGGTCTGGGTTCGGCGTTGCAGCTTGAGACAAGAAAGCAACCATAGCTTCCTTCCTCATCTCTCCGTCATAGACAATCCCTTCGGTTTCCTTTCCTCCCGGAAGCAGGATCAAAGTTGGGAACTTGGTGACTCCAAACAACTCCAACGACGCTTTCTCCTTGTCCGTGTTTCTGATTTGTGCCACATGGATGCTTCCCTTGAAGTCAATGGCGATTGACTTCAACAATGCGCTGGTCTTGCCCTTGTCCGTAAACAAAATAGCTTTCGCCGTGTTATTCGAATCCGCCAGCCAGCCCTCCAATGTCTTGTCATCTACTCTCTTGACATGATTCGGGATCTTGTCAACCACCGCATCCACGATTCCCTTCGCAGTTCTCGGGCCATTGTAATCCTCAACGACGGGTTTTCCAGATTTAGAGCCTGGCTTGATGATCTTCAGCGTGGGGAAACCTTGCACTCCGAATTGTCCGCAAAACGGCTTGTTGGACTCTTTATCGCAGTCGACGGCGGCTACCTTGGCCAGGCCAGCGAGGTTCTTGGCAGCTTTCTCGTACGCAGGCTGGAGGTTCTTGCAGTGGCCACACCACGGGGCGTAGAATTCGACGATCTGGCGGGTGAGAAGAGGCTAGCAGTTTTGTGGAAAGTACATACAGAAGTGTAGTTGGATTGGGCAATCAAACGATCATAGTTCTCGCCATCAACTTGAATGACTGGAGAGCTCTTCGAATAGAGACCGGCGTTGACAGGCAAAGCTGCCAGAAGAGCTGCTGCTGCAAGGGTGACAGCTCCCGTGTGGACCATCTTTTCGATTTGTGGATTGATTGACTACTGGTGAAGCTATAGTAGCTGGAAGAGAGATCAGTGCATGAAGTGGCAGAGACAGGAGGGAAAAGCAGTAGTGAGCAGATAATGTTTGTTTTCTTGTGCGGTGTTGACAAGCTGTCCTGTTGAAAAAGGCCACCTTTGCGTGCTGGTCAGAAATCCGGGGTAAAAAGCGAAGCGCAGCGCGACCGGTACAGGGGTAGCTCGTGAAAGAAGCGGGGTTCAAATTGCCCGGTTGGGCCATTTTGCCGGACCGTCCCTTTTGGGCGATTTCTCGTCCACTCTTGAACATCAACTCCCCAGCCCCTCCATCGAGATCTTCTCTGCGCCCGCACGTCATCGGCAACCACACATCAACGTCGTCTTGCTTGCGAATAGCCTCTTCCTTCTCCTCTGTACATCGTCAGCGATCATGGCGACCCATATTCCAGACAAGCTCAAGGCAGCAGACCTCATACGATTCATCGTGAGAGCTGCGCAGCTTGAGAAGGTCAAGCCTGTGATGGCCTACTGGTGTATGTAGCACTCTCTTCAAGCTACACAGAAGCTGATATCTGCAGGCGAATACTGGATCGTCAATCAGATTCTCTCAAAGGGCCTGCACAATGGCGACAACGAAACCCTACAGTACACGACGACCTTGATGGACAAGCTGGAACAGGTAGAGAAGCTGCCTTGATCTACCCATGGCAGACGCTGAGCAGCTCTAGATCAAAGCCGATAATGCTACGAACGATGCGATAGTAGACGATACGGCTGGTCAGGCATTTGTGGAACAGTTTGGACTGGAAACATTCCAGAGAGCCGACAGAGCCGTGCAGGCAGACAAGGTCACAAAGTAGGGTTCTCGGATCTCAAGGCTGGCATAACTTTTGACATACCACAGGCAAACGGCAGACACATTCCAAGCAGCCGCCACTTTCCTTGAGCTAGTTAACATTTGGGCCCCTCCCGATGCAGAGACACAATCGAAGATAAAGTATGCAAAATGGAATGCTGTACGAATAGTCAAGGCATTGAAGGAGGGAAAAGATCCAAACGAATCGAATCCGAAGACGCCAGCACCAGAGGAGAATCTGCCAGCGCTTGATCCGAACGACCCTGAGGTCCAGATGCTTGGATCCCCTACGAAACCACAACCAGCGTATGTTGAAGAGGCTCCAGACGAGCAGGACAGAGTTGAAGCTCGTCTTGCCAGACAATCTTCCATCGACCAATCGCTGCATCCTTCCGCTCAGGTTTCAGCACGCGGTTCGCCAAAAGCTCCATATGATCCATACCCTAGAGATGGCTTCCCGTACACCGCAGTCCAAGATGACAATGTATCACCCCTGGAACAATCTCCCAATCCGAGAAACGGATCGGTTGGTGGTGGTTATTTCCCAGAAGTCCCGACCTTCACATCAGAATCACGAGATGCTACGCTCCCTACTGCACCGCCAGATGATATCCTCGATCTAGGCCTCCCACAGCAGCCATCGGCGCCTCCTGGCGCTAGTGTTTCTCCGGATTTTGAATCATTCCCGCCTCCCACTTTACCCGATGAGCCAGTTGGCCCGCCACCTCAAGATTATTACCGACAAGCACCACCTACGCAATCTCCTCACATCAGACAAGAGCAAGAGCAACATATTACCCCTGACCAACATTCTCATGTTCAGAAGCCCACTATTCCACCACATTTCCATCAGCCTGCCCCAAGTCAGCAACAGTTCCAGCAACCGCCCCCAAATCAGCAGCATGTTCACTACACTCCACCGATCCACAACCCGTATGAATCCCCACGACAACAATATCAGCCACCACCCGCCGCGCAAGCTCCACCTCCAGTTCAGAACACGCAACTTATTATCGATGATATGGCAATTGCAAAGGCGCAGAAACATGCGAGATGGGCAATCTCAGCCCTGAATTTTGAGGATGCTGATACTGCAGTCAAGGAATTGAGGGCTGCTTTGAAAACTCTTGGTGCAGAGTAGGTCGGGGAAGCGTTGTGTTAGTAGGATTGTATCTTGTAGATTAGCAAGCACACTGCGAATACCCAATATATCAGTTATTGTTATAATTCGAGTAGCGGGCAAAGTCGAACTCACTGTTCACACCTCCCTATAGTGCTTGCTAGGGACTCTATATAAAGTATTCTATACAAAAAGTCAAATGCTTGAAAAGAGGGTATATAAGTAAGGCGGTTTTGAAAAACACACCTTAGTAAGGAGCTACTTTATTAAAATTGTATAATTAACAACTCGATATCAAAATGTGTTCAATAATCGACGACTTTCAAGATGAAGAGATCAAGCGAGTATGGTTCTATTGGTCGTCGGCCGTATCGGCGAAGGCTGTTATGTTGGTGTCGATGAAAATTCTCTCGAGGTCGGAAAGAAGCAACTATCATGCTATGAGGCTGAGCACTCCCAGCCGCTCCGATAAATGCTGAAATGATGCCTTCAAGCGCAGTCCACACGAAGAATCAGCCAACGAAGCCATTGGATTTCATTTTGCAGAAGAGTAACATATACACATGAAGGGATGTCCATTTACTTTGATATAAAGGAAGTAAAATCGATCAGTTATGCGACAAGCACATGATATGAATTGGATTTTAGATCCAAGACGACAAAATTCGCTACAGGGTTGCCAAGAACTCCATTAGTGTAAGAATGGAGCTATGCAAGAAATATGGACACTTTGACTTCATTCTCCACTCACCTCTTCCGACGTCTCACTAGTCTATATCTTCCCGGCCGTCGTTCAACCAACGGAAAGTGGGGACTATGAATTAGAACCCGTTAATGTTTGGTACCCCTGGCGGCCCGTGTCTCTTCCTCAAAGTTCCAGTCTCCAGCGCTATCAAGGCCCGCCGTTATGCCTCCGCTTTATGATGAGCGACCAACCACTTATTGGAGCAGTATACGGTTCCGAGACCTCCTTCAAGGCAGACTTCCCCACTCATCTCGACAGTGTGCTACTGGATATGTGTTGAAAACCAAATATCGCACCTCTGAGAAACTTATCAAATCAGCATGCAGTTATTGTTCAGCTCAATGTGTGTGCGTGACCCAATCCACAAGGCCACGCAACCTAGCGAGTGGAAACCACCATAACCTCCAGTAAACTTATGACAGGGCCATCGCAATGGTTTGCTCTTTATTGTCCTTCTCCTCAATATCTCCCCCGGATCAAGGGCTTCGCACGATATGTTTGAATCAATCTCTCTCAACAAGGTCACCTCCCCGCTCATGGATCCAGACAGAGCAGTACTCCTCAAGGCACGGGCTCGACAGCAATGGAAGCAGAAATGGCGGCGCATGCTTTTGCTTTGGACATTAGCAACAGGTTTAAGATTCTCTGTTCACCTAATCGCCGTAATTCAATTGCACAAAGGACCTTACGGCCTAGGAGTTCTATATACGAGTCTGGATTGTTCATCAGTACGTCGAACGCGGCTTCAAGGGTCTCTGCTACTGAACGGAATTGCAGCCGTTGCATTTGTCTCTTCAAACTACGCAATGCAATGTCTCGCATCTCCTACAAGAGCCGAGATTGACCTAGCCCATTCCAAACTTCAATCTATAGACATTGGTAGACAATCTTTGCGAAACCTTTTGAGAGTGAAGTGGTCTCGAAAGTTAATATGGTTGTTCCTCGCAGCGTCTGGAATTCCTCTACACATACTGTAAGTGTTCAAATCTTGCTAAATTCTCAAATTGATGATATAGATACAACGGGCTGCTTTTTGTTCTTGATACTAAGAGGGGCAACTACCAAGTCGCGGTTTCCGAGGATTTCTTCGATCCAGAATTAGTCTTTGACATCGTGAACCTCCCAATCAACATAGATGACGTTGAGGAATGGAAATGGGGTCATCAACCACTTGCCACACTCCCGATCCCCGGTACGGAACTTGATAGTGTATATTCTCTTCAGGAATCGCTGAATTTGCTCCGGGCCCACAATACTTCCGCGAGCTGGGAAAGCCTGGACTTACTTGACTGCTATGAGATTTATCTCAACTACACGGACCAACTGAGGCCTAACATCGTATTTGTGCTGAATTGGACAAGTCCAGACTCAAATAACACAGCACTGAGCATAGCAACGCTCAGCTATTCCGGGGGTGACCTATTTACGTTATGCCCAGAGTCGTTTTATAACACCACTAATGGCGCCCTCCAAGTTCTGAACGCTTCTACGGCAGTTCCTGGCTTCTACACGATCTCTGGTCTATATAACGATCCCAAAGTGGAGATGATAGGAAATGATAATTGCCCATATCTGTATTTGCCAGTTCCATCTTACCAACCACAAGCAGTACCCCAGGTTACGCAATGCTTAACTGAAGTCGTTCGGCCGGGAACCTGTCGCCTGGCCTACAGCTCTACCATTCTGAAAATAATCACCGTGTTTCTCTCTCTGAAATTTTTTGGATTGCTTCTAGCCCTTTTCGCTTTGAAGTCAAATGCCTGAAAAGCGGGCACGTAAGCGAGGCGGTTTTGAAAAACACACGTTAGCGAGAAGCTCCCTTACCAAAATCATATAGTTAATAACTCGATATCAAATAACGGGCGAATAGCTACAAGTTAGGTACCGAAATAATTGCATATTACCAGGTTTTTAAAAGGTTATAGCTATATGTTATGTATTGGTTATATAGCAGATTAATCGCGATTTCATAGCAAGAGTATACGTATTAAGAGCCGAAAAAGCGTAATATACGTAACGTCGGTAATAACTTAATAAATAACGGGCGAATAGCTATAAGTTAGGTACCGAAATAATTATATATTGCCAGGTTTTTAAAAAGTTATAGCTATATATTACGTATTAGTTATATAGTAGATTAATTACGATTTTATAGCGAGAATATATATATTAAGAGCCGAAAAAGTATAATATACGTAATATATATATTTTAATAAAACCGATATTATATTATTAATAACTTTCTTTATATTAGTTTAAGGCCCTAAAAGGCTACGAATTAAGTACTAAATTAATTATATATATTATAATAGAAAGTATATATTTTAGGATTTAATATATTATAATATATATAATAAATTTATTACTAAGAGTTTGGAACTTGCTTAGAGATTAAGGCTAGAGATATTTCCTGAATCTAAATCCCTTTTACTCTTAGTATAATTAATAATAATTTTTTTAGATATTACTCCTAAATAAGCTAATTCTTTAATAGCCTTTTATTTCCGAACTTTTAGTAAATTATTACCGGATTTTAATCTTTTATTTCTGAATCTAATTCTCTAAAAATACCTTGCCTAAAGAAAAGCAAAGAAGAAAAGAAAGAAATAAGGTATAAAAGTAATATAACTAGATAAGTATACTAGTAGGAAAAGTATTAATAAGTTCCAGATCCTAATTTAATAGGTTATTATTTGCTTACTTGTATTCCCTCAAGCTCCTTCTATTTGCTATAGATTTAATAACTAATATATGCCTTTTCCTAGCTTCTTTAAATACTATTTAGTAATCTTCTCCTTAATAACCTCCTCCTTAATAACCTTCTCTTTAATAACCTCCTCCTTTTTTATAACCTTCTTCCTTAGATATACCGACCTCTTTAACTCTAATTATATAATAGCTTAACTCTTTATATATATTGCCTTCTTACTATATCCAAGAATATTTAAATACTATAAGTACTTCAAGTATAGAGCTACTCGGCTTCCAAATACTATTAATTCGACCTCGAAATATATAAGAATTATTAACTAGATATTAAAGATCTATACCTAATTCTATAGGACTTTTATTATAGAATATAGGCCTGCCTTATATAATATAAGAGCCTGCTATTCGCAAATCTGCTAGAATTCAAGGGCAAAGTACCGAGTTATTACTAATTAAATAAGAAATTATTATTTGCTTATTTATAAGAATCCGAGAACGAAATATTAAATAATAATTACCTAATAGTAAATATTATAGAGAGACCTAAGAGATCCCTAGCGAGACCTAAAAGACTCTTTACTTGAGCCCAAGTATTATAAGTACTATCCTATCTTATAATTCTTCCGAAAATATAGCGGCTTTCTAGCTAATTACTACTGAATTAATAACTATATTCCTGTAAATCTACTATAAATACAAATCTCCTAGATATTTATAACCGAGAAATAAGAGACAGATATATATATGTTCTATAGAGCCTATTATATAAATGAGCTATGAATTTGGCGAGGCCTATAGGATTAGGTATTTATAATATATAAGTAATAAGGAATTAGAACCTATTAGTTAATCTTAAGGGAATTAATAATCTATTCTCTAAATACTAACTATTTATTAGGGTACTAATCTGGAACCTCTAAATTTATGAGACCGGAATAGGGATCTCTTATCGAGTTATAATCTCTTATTATATAGTATAACCCTAGATAATAGTAATTATAGTATTAATGATTTTAATAATAGTTTCCTAGAATATAATAGTGAAATGGAGCCTAATAGCCAGGAGCTATATAGTAAATTATAGGCAAATATTTCCTTTTTCGCAAATAGTAACTAGCCTAGTCTCGGGTATTTTCTGAACTAACTACTTCCGGATAGTAATAATAATAATAGTAATAATCCCGATTTTATTTCCGAAAAGACTCCTAATATGCCTTATCTAGATAATAATAATGGTATTAATAAGAATAATAATAATACCGAGAATGACTAAATTATTAATAATAAGGATACTGAGACTAAAAATAAGGGTAAGGGTAATAGTAAGAACGAGGCGGAATTAGAAGCTTAATTATAAGCCGAGATTACTGGATCTAATAAGCTACTAATTAATTGTATTTCGGAGCTAGCTCGTTATCTATTCGATTTCTAAAGATATATAAATAAATAATATACCGAGTCTAATAATAAATAAGATCTCTTTTATTTTACTAAATAATATATTATACTTTTATAATACTGCGATTTTCTTTCGAATTATAGTCTTAGTAAATAAAATAGTAAACTATTATATCTAGAGTAAATAATAAACTAGTAAAAACATATAGTAATTAGGGATATTAACTAGCGAGCTATATTTACTAGTCTTATTATAAATAATAATAATAACTATTTACCTAATAGCCAGGTTATAAATAATAATAATAATAATTCAGATAATAGTACCTTTTATAAGCTTAACTTTAATATATTACGGGTAAATTATAATAAAAACGATACCGAATCGGTAGCTAATATTTTAGACTATTATTTGTATTTATATATATTTTACTCTTAGATAAACTACTATAAAGGTTTAAGATAATATAATATTAATAGCTTTTATAGGTATACTAATTGCCTTTCTTTTGCCTAATAAGGAATTCAAGTTAACTTATACCCTCGTTTTTAATAAAATATCTCTATTTTTATATATTTATATATAAATATTACTGACTTTATAATGAATTCTGACTAGTCCAAGGTCCAGAAGATAGCCTTTTATAAAGTGCCTTACTATTACTTTGGTTATATAATTAGTTATAAGGATATTTATATTTATATTTTCTTTTCTTCTATATAGGATCCTATAAAGAAAACTATATTTCCTAGATACGGTAGCGGCGCTCTATTTTCTATTCTCTAATATTAGTTTAATAAGATTCTTTTACTAGCTATATTTCGTAATGTTTTACTAATGAGTTACTAGTATATTTCTTTTAATTAGAAGTATACTAAACTTAAAGCCGAGGCATACTAATAAGAGAATATTAGTTCTATATATAATAATAATATTTAAGCTAAGGTAATACTTCTTTATTATATAATTTAAGGTTATATACTATAAGTAATTTAGTATAATATTATTTGGTAATTTCCCTTTTATAATAATAAGCTATATTATAATACTTGTATTTACTTTTTAAATAAAAATACTAAACTTAACTTTAAGGCTAATATTTTATTAGAGATATAGAATGCTTTTATTTCTATACTATTTCTAGTTCTTGACTTTTTAAAACTGGATTAGTTCCGAATCTATATTAATTTAGTAAAAGAAACTATCTCAATCCAATTTATATTACTTGAATAGCTACTTAATACTAATAGATATATCCCGACTATATATTTTCTTTATATCTACTATCTTAAGGCCTTTACTAAATGGGCTAACTTAGGCAAGTATAGAAAGTCTATAAAGCCTATCTTTTATATAATTACTATATTTCGAGATATTACTAATATAATACTAGTAATCTCCCGATATTATTATAAGTATTACTAAGGCTAGGTATATTTACAGGTATATAATAGCTTTAAGGAAGTATATAATATAGTAAATTGCAAGCCTTTAACTAGTAAGTTCTTAGAGAAACTAGTCCGGAATCCAAATATTAATAAGATAATTCGGGTATATAATAAGAGTACTATAAAGATTCTTAAAAGAATATAAAATATCTATTTTATAGGGCGTTTTCGCCTATTTTATATACTTGTATTTACTATATATTATTTCTTTAGTATCTATAAAGAGTATTGTTTTTCTTTTACTTTTATTAATAAGTTAAAAGCTTACTTAGAAGAAGCTAGTAATTAGGGCTTGAATTACTAGCTAACTACTACTAATTACCGACCTTTTTAGAAGTTGCTAACCGAATATTAGATTGATTTTACTTCTCTAAATATTCTCAAATATTTAGTAGCCTTTAAGTAAATATCTATTATAAATCTAGTACTTAGTATATTTTACGAGTAATATAAAGTTTTAATTATACTTCTTATAGTACTGCCTTTTACTTTTAATATAAGACTAGTCTTTATAAGTCCAAAATTATTTTAATATTTCTGGAAAATAATATTTTAATATTCGGGAAAGGCTCTTTTCGGGATAGGTATCTAAGAGAGTATTTCTACTTATAAATATAGTTAGTACCTTAACTAAATTAATTAGGATTACTTAGCTTTTTATAACTAATTCTCTAATGAAATTATATATACTAGTAATATAATCCGGGATAAATATTATAAGAATTAGAAAGAGGTTATTATATCTAAGAAAGACCTAGTATATATTAAGGCGGCAGATTACTAGCTAGAGCTTTATAAGAATAACTCTTAATACTTATAATATATCTAGTTATATCTTCTTATTATAATTATATAAACTTATTAGATAAATATATTCTTTATTATTAAGGATATAATTAAACTAGAGTTTAAGGAAAAGGTAAATAGAAAGGAAATTATATTTTATTAGATATCTTTTCGGAAGTATTTTATTAATAATTAGAAGTAGTCTATCTTAATAATAGATATATAATGAACTAAGACTAAATATATTCAAGATCTCTTAGAGTATATATAGGGCTTTGGGGAAATAGATTATAAAGGCTAGGAAGATCGGGTATTTTATATCCTAAGCTTTTATACTTATTAGATTATGAAATATTATATTAGTAGAGTTAAATAGTAAAAGTTTTATATACTAATTAGTAGATACTTTATAGTAACTTACTAGCTATTCCCTTACCTAACTATAACCAAGTTTATTTAGTATAATAGTAATTATATACTTCTTTAAATACGGGTTTATTACTATTACCTGGCCTAATTATAAATAAGACAAAATATAGTTCTTAGTATTAATTTCTTATTACTAATTATAATTAACTTCTTCTTATAATATTAGCCTGCCTATAATTAGCTATTAAAGTATTTCATATTCCAAACTAATACTTTTATAATAGAGTAATATTATAAGTAGTAATAATTTAAGGCAGACTTTAGAAGAGAGAATAGTTGCGAGTATAATAAGAAATGGGATATTTTTAATTATAAGCCTCCTAATAGTAATAATAAGGCCCTTTCCGAATTATTAAGGAAATACTAGTATATACTAGACTAGGAGTTTATAATACTAGGAGATATAAAGTACTATATATTATTTCAGATATCTATAGAATATATAGCTACCCTTGCCTTATTTAATACTGATTTAGTAGTAATTTTGGTAGTTCTAGACCTCTTATACCAGATATAATAGCAGATTAAGTATTTAGATGAAATCTAATAACTCGGTAGAGAAATATTAGTAATTTACTAGTATTTTAAGGCCGTTTTACTTACTAAATACTTTATAGAATCCAATATTTAGTATTATATTTTATATTAATTTATTCTATTTATTATAGTAATAAAGTATAAACTCGATATAATTTATTAACTCTTTACTTAATTATTAGAGTGGCTTTAAAAGAGCCTGCTTATATATTTATAGTAATATGTATAGACTAGTTATTCTTTTAGTAAATCCTGTTTAGTAGTATATTACTAGTTCTTAGTAGCCTATTTACTAATAAATATATATTTTTTATTTTATATAAAGTTCCCTAATAAAAATAAAGCTTCTGGTTTATATTTTTATAATAAACTAAGAATATAATATAAGCTAGTATCTGACTATAAACTATAACTAATAAAACCCTATAATACTAATATATATATATATATATTCTAATTTATTAATACTATTGCTTTTTCTTTCTTCTTTAAATATTTTTCGGAGTAAGTTTCTCTAGTCCTGATTTCTTATCTAATATACTCTTGCTATTAATTTGCTATTAATTATTTAGGGAGTTCCGGCGGCTTATAGGTATATTTCTTATATTCTAGTATATTCTTCCAAATCTTTTCTTTTATAATATTATTACTATATATTATATAATTTATTAACTAATAATTAATTATTTCTAGGCCTTTTTAATACCGAATTATTATATTATTATTATTAAATAAACTAATTTTAATTACTATATATCTTCTAATACTATAAGTTTATAATATAAGTTTACTAGTATATTAGTAGCTAATAGTAAATATATTATAGGATTCCTTAAAATATTTTCCTTTCTTTTTTATATCTTATTATTACTATATTATATAGTCTTGCCCTATCTATATAGGATACTAGTATTAGGGATCCCGAGAAAATAATATATATAATATACAGGGCTTATAGGGTAGTATATATCTAATTAGAAGTTGCTTGCTCTCTTCCTCCTTCTTTATTACTACTGGCTAGTTCCCTTTCTGTTCCTTTATTACTACCTGCTAGTCCGCTTTCTGCTACCTCTTATATGAGGCCCCTTTTTCGGTAAAAGGTGAGAATGCCAGTGCACTAATTAGTGCGTGTGCTACTGACTAATGCACTTTCCGGTAAAAGGGATTTCGGTAAAAGGGCACCTCCCCTACTACCCCCTACCCCCCTTTAAATAAGCATTCCCTTGTCTCGAAGCACGTACTCGTCATGTTCTCGTATAATCCGATTTACAGGGTTACTATCTGCCATGTCTGCAAGTCCTGCGTCATTCCAGGGGCACGTAGTCAAGAGCGGCACCTGCGAGCGCAGCCACACCGACTCTTGGGAGACGAGCTCAAGGCGACTGTATAGCTCCTCAGTAGCTATAACCTGAGGAGTATAGCCGAGCTCAGAGAGCACAAGCCCCGGCCCGAAGACAGGTGCCAGATAATTGAGTACCTGGTTAGCTATAATGGTGTCTACTATCTATAGCCGTAGTATAGCTATAGCACCCGCTATCTCCCCAAGATAAAGGAGCACTAGGCTGCTTGCCACAAGACCGAAGCAAGGTCTTATGAGAGTAGTTAGTCGTGGAAAAAGTACAAGCTACAGACATACTTCACTGCGAAGGGCCGGATTAATTATTTTGTAGTAGTGGATAGGGAGAAAGGCAGGGAAATAGCCAGAGGCTCTATATTATTAACTGAGCCAGAGAAGGAACTATTTAAGCAATTAGAGAAGGATTACAAGGATATGAAATGCGATCTTGAGAAGCAAGTAACTATAGTCCAGGATATTAGAGATTCAAGGTCAGAAAGGGTACCATGGCTATATGACATAACGGGTTTTCCATATTACCTGACTACGCTAAAGGACGAGGAGATCTGGAGCTCGTATAAGCTGCCACCGAAGAAAGAGCTTAATGCGGATAGTGAGGATACTAAGGATCCTAATCTCGTCCGAATTTTAGTTATAGCCGAGGCTGCCTTAAGAGACGCATACCGGTTATGCAGCAATACCTCGCTAGACCGGAAAATGACACAGTAGCGGGCTAATATCCTACCCCTTATGCAGGGCCCCTTTTTCGGTAAAAGGTGAGAATGCCCGTATGCTAATTAGTGCATGCGCCGCTGACTAATGCACTTTCCGGTAAAAGAGATTTCGGTAAAGGGGCACCTCCCCTACTACCTTTTAATAAGCATTCCCTTGTCTCGAAGTGCGTTCTCGTTATATTATTATATAATCTAGCTTATAGAGTTACTATCTATTATGCCTGCAAGTCCTGTATTATCCTAGAGACATATAGTTAAGAGCGGCACCTGCAAGCGCAGCCATACTAACTCTTGGGAGACGAGCTCAAGGCGACTGCAAAGCTTCTTAATAGCTATAACTTGAGGGGTATGGCCAAGCTAAGAGAGTACAAGCCCCGGCCTAAAGACAAGTGCCAGATAACTAAGCACCTAGTTAGCTACAATAGCATTTACTATCTATAGCCATAGTATAGCTATAATACCTGCTTATAGGACTGGGTCTTATATATTAAAACAAGGAATTACTTTGCAAAACTCTATTGCCTAGTATAGGCTAAGCAAGAACTAACTGTAATTAAATAGCAGTTACTAAAAGGCCCGATAATATAATAGTAGCATACAGAGTTAGTAAACTCTATAGCCTAGGTTCGATTCCTAGTTAGGCTCCTGATTTGCTTCTTAATAAATACTCCTATAGCATTTGGCGATAAGTAAATCTATTTTTTTTGGTCTTGTTTTTTGAGCAAGAGATATCACGTGGGGACGCTAGTCTAGCTTCAAGAAGTATATAAAGCCCTCCTCGCCCGCCCTTCGCCTCTCCTTCTCTCCTTCCCTTCTTTTCTCCCGCTCTCTTCTCCTCTGGCCGCTTCTCCTTCTCTTCTCCTTGCTCCCTCCTAATCGAACAAGCAAGGAGTAGAGGTAGTACAAGAACCAGAATAGCAAAAGAATTAGTGGCCAGTTATACTCTAGGGTTTTACCCCCTAAGCTTTCCTGTATAGGTCGTTTCATCGGGTACCCACCCCGGAAGGAAACCACTCACGTTGCCTGCCGGGGCTTTAAATCTACAATTAGCTCACTGGTATAGTATACTCGAGACTATTCATAGACCGACCGCCCTGCTCCCTCCTTCCGGAAGGCCATTAATACCCGAAATAGCGATAAGGAGGCCGGAGCTTCCGTCATGTCATAGCTAAGGGGTCGCCACAATAGTAAGGATATATATAGTTAGTTCCAACTATACTACGAAGGCTTGGCATCAGGCTTTTGGTAAATCAAAAAAGCTTATTTTAATATATATAACCTAGAGCCAAAGTAAATGCAGTCACGTGACTGCATTCACTCGAGGCGTCCTAGTAAAATCCACTAGCTAATTTAATTATAAGTACTATAAGCTAGTAGGATATATAGCCTAGCTTAAATTAACCTAGCCCCTTTAAAGAAAGAAATTATATAATTATATATTACTTGAGCCCTCTCTTACTTAAAAGTAAGAAATTAGTTTCTAGATTCTATTATATAATATAAACTAAATAAATATATTATATACTTTTCTATAATATCTTGAATTTATTTCTTTATAAAACTCTTATTCTTTTTATTTCTTTTACTCTTTTTTATTATTTAAATTTTTGAAGTAATTTATAAGACTTTATATATTTATTTTTCTAATAGCCTAATCTAATTAAATATTAAAAGAAGATATAAAATTAGAGTTTAGATTCTAAGTTTATTAGAAATAAATAAAAGAAATTAATCTAGTATTATTATAAATATAAATTATATAAATATAATAAATTATTATAAATAATTTATATAATAATAATAAGAAAGAAAGAAGACTTAAAGTATAAAAGGAATTCTGAAATTAAAATATATTTTATTTATAATATTTAAATTATAAATAAAATAAAAAATAAGAAAAAGAAAAAAAGAAATAGAAAAGAAAAAGAAATAAGATTTTATTTAGAAAAGATAAAAGAAATTTTCTATATATTAAAGGAAAAAATATAAGAATTAAAATTAAAGAAATTTAGTACTATATATAAAGAGAGAATATTTAAATTATAAATTAAATTTTAAGTATATTTTTAAAATTTAAAATATTAAAA